CATCATCACCACGCCATCGCCATCACAATCACCATCATCACCACGCCATCGCCATCACAATCACCATCATCACCACTCCATCGCCACTGCCATCACAATCACCATCACTTTCCCCCACCACCACCCTTATTCCATCCCACTTCCACATCACACGCGACCCCTTCCTTTCCCAGGACACCGACGAGGAGGACCAGTGGATCACCTTCACGGTCCCCGGCACGACGTCGTCCACCAAGTACCACTCGATGAGTCACACTTTCACGGACCTCGAGCCAGGGTCAGCCTACTACGTCCGTGTTGTGGCGAGGAACGAGTACGGACGAGGGGATGCCAATGAGTCTTTTGCCTTCACGACGTTAGATTCTGGTGAGTGTATGTTGGTGATATTTTTCGTGTGTATTTTGGTAAACGTTTAAAAAAAGAAGCATTTTGTATACTGCGAAGCATTGTGTGCATAAAGTTTTGGCGTAGAGTAAATGACTGTTTCTGTAAACAAAGCGAGGACTTGTTTGAGATAAAGTATTGTAAATTCTAAAGTAACGCTGATTACGAAAGTAAGCATTATGTATAAAATATAGTACTGTATGTACAGAATTGCTTAATCATAAAAGAGAGCATTGTTTATGAGGCAAGTATGAAGTAATGGACTGCACAATGCAACAGGTACTGAATGTACTATATATGCAGCGAAGTGTTTGTTCCGTAGGTATGGTATTCGTTTTATTGATAAGTCAATACCATCTTATCATTACTTGAGATTGGTACCCAACATTACACCATAGTCAGTCACAATTCGCACAGCCAGATGGAGTTTTTGTATGACCGTCGCCAAAAACGCTTTTTATAACAAAAAATTACCAGTGTTGCAAATTTTGTTATGGGGGGAGGGGTTGCAGCGCTAGTTTACCAGAACTGCATTAATAACATTCACATTATTCATGGGCACTTTAGCATAATCATTATTCTTTATATTTAGCATAGTACTGCGGTCAAACAGAATGCACCAACATCGCATCACTATCACCTTTCAACATAATTGAACTACTTTTCAAATCACCTATTTTCAACTGCAACTCGATTATATATGCCACGCCGTTTTAACATATAGCTTAACTATTTCTCACGTCGCTTTATTCTAGGGCTCAACCATTTTCAACATCACTCAGTCACATGGCTGAACCATTTCTTACATCACTTCATCATAGGGCTTAAATGTTTTTTCACGTCACCTCATAATGCAGCTGAACCATTTCCCACGTTACTTTATCATACGAGGGAATCGTTTCTCACATCACTCTACCACGCATTTATATATACATGCCCCTAATGTCTTCTCTTCCCCCGTTGCATTCTCCAAGAAAAAAGACTTTCCATCACACCGTCGCCCACTGCCCCCCGAGATAACGAGGCGTCGGTAAATATTGGCCCTCTAAATCCCCTTTCAGTGTCCAGTCATAGGCGTTTCAAACGGTCTTTCCCTCGTTTCCCCTCATGCTTTTAATTCGATAGGTGTCCTAGTCCTTCAGTGTCCTATGGCTGCCTAGCTTATCTGTCTGTACAGTGTCGTGTAGATAGGTCTAGTTGTAAGAGAAGTTAGTGTTGTTTTCTGATGAATTCCCTGCAGGACCTCGTGTATAATTTTCTTAAGCTGATCATATCCCATATTCAAAAAAAAAGAAGAAGAAAAAAAAGTTTTGGGATACATTCCATTTGCTTTGTACCCACGTATTGTTTTATGTGTTGTCTATAGGAAGCAAGATTTCCACCATAGTCTTTACCTAAACACATTTCCCCATTAGACTGCACCACGCTTCATGTAATCAGCATAAAAAAATCTTTCATTTCTCAACCTTTCATTTCCCATCGTTAGGTTGCATGTCCTTGTTAAGAGCTGTCCAATAGAGCTATATTCGCCCTGTCTTCTGTAATACACAGCATGCTAAACTTCAAACAAAGTATATACGTATCCCTCAGATTTACATTGGTGTGATCTATTTTTGTGTCTGTGGTGAGCAAGGTGAGAGAAAATAACTTTGTATCGCGTTTATATATATATATATATATATATATATATATATATATATATATATATATATATATGTGTGTGTGTGTGTGTGTGTGTGTGTGTGTGTGTGTGTGTGTGTGTATATATACATATTTATGTGTGTGTGTGTGTGTGTGTGTGTGTGTGTGTGTGTGTGTGTGTGTGTGTGTGTGTGTGTGTGTGTGTGTGTGTGTGTGTGTGTGTGTACGTGTGCTTGTATACACACACATAATGACATGCAGACACACATTAAGGAAAATCCTTGTGACTGACCAAATATCTTCTAAAAGCAGTTGATAATTGTTGCACAAGAAATGTCGAAGACTATGATACCACTTTTGTTTCTAAATATAAAACCTCACACAAGTATGACACTCAGTGTATTCCCACCTAAAACAAGCAAAGTGCTAAGACCACAATTAAAGACATACCCTTACGTGTTACGTGTCCTTTTTA